ATCTAGATTTATTTTCCTAGATTATAACTCATCTTAATGTAGGCCTTGTTTAATTAGATTCAAATTTTTTTCTTCAAACTTCGAACTTTTCCATCACATCAAATGTTTGTATACATGCATGAAGCATTAAATGTGGATGAAAAAAACCAATTATATAGTTTGTATGTAAATCGCGAGACGAATCTTTTGAACCTAATTACGCCATGATTTGACAATGTGATGCTACAGTAAACATCGCAAATAATGGATTAATTAGGCTTAATAAATTCGTCTCGCAGTTTACAGGCGGAATCTGTAATTTTTTTTGTTATTAGTCTACGTTTAATATTTCAAATATGTGTTCGTATACTTCAAAAAATTTTCGCACACGAACTAAACACAGCCATAGATTGTTTTTTTTAACGGAGGAAGTATATATGATACTATAATATATCGTCCGTACACGTACGGTGTATATATGTCAGTCTTATATACTACTAAGGTTGTGTTTAGTTCCACGCCAAAATTGAAAGTTTGAAGAAATTGGAACGATGTGATAAAAAAGTTAGAAGTTTGTGTGTGTAGGAAAATTCGATGTGACGAAAAAGTTAAAAATTTGAAGAAAAAAGTTGGAATCTAGACAGGGCCTAATATACTATGCTCGCATAGTTGCACCAGCAGCTTGGTAGCTATAGTACTCCCTCTATCCCCTAATATAAGACGTGGCCAAAGTTGGCACGGTCTCCAAAACTAATCTTTAACTTATAATTTCTCATATATTATAAGGTTTGTAGAAATAAAATTATAATCATATGAAAATAAATTTAAATCTCAATCTAATGATATAATTTTTAACCAATAAAATTCATTTCATATTATACCAAGTGTTGGTTAAATGTTTTAAAGGTTGAATCTTAAAATGTGTGCACGATTTATATTATGGAATGGAGAGAGTAATAAATTAAGGGAGAGCAATGCATGCAACTACGTGGTAATTAATTAAGCCAGTAAAAATGTTATAGTTGCCTGGAGACATAATAATGCAACGTACGTACGTGCAGGCCGGGAACTAGCTCTCACAGTCTCACTAGCTAGTCATTGCATGCCCCCGTGTACTCCAGCCGTCTAAAAAATAAAATAAACCCTAGGTTTCCGTGTGTACTCCTTCCATCTAAAAAATAAAATAAATCCTGAGTTTCCGTATTCAATGTTTGACTGTCCGTCTTATATAATTTTTTTTTATAATTAGTATTTCCATTGTTGTTAGATGATAAAATATAATTAATACTTTATGCGTGACTTGTCTTTTTATTTTTTTATAATTTTTTTAAATAAGACGGACGGTCAAACGTTGAATACGGAAACTCAGTGTTTGTTTTTTTTACGGAGGAAGTACGTACGTAGTACTACACGTTTGCAATAATATATTAATCAGCAAGGAAATATTCGCTGTAAATTAATACAGCTATAGCTGGCTAGCTGCTCCTACTATACGCGTACGCATGCAGCGTACAGTACCATATTTTTGTTTTCAGAAAAATTAAGGGTACATATAGGTGTATATAGTAGCGTACAGTACTGTAAATGTAAGGAGAGCAATGGATATGATCAAATTGTCAATTGAATGGTACCATGAGTACAATTATGGGAGTGATGAAGTATTAATTTGAGCATGCATGCAATGCAACGGACGTAGGAGAGGAAAGAAAAACACTTACTGAAACCTATGTCATGTATGATCTTGGAAGACATACGTATAATTATATAGAAGACGTATTTACACATACACCACTATGCACGCAACCAACTTGCGAGTGTGCCCTCTCTCTCCCCACGCCCACGTGGGTTTGTAAATTAAATGGACATAAACCTGCTGCAAATTTCTACCTCACTAATTAAATACCTATTGAAATTGCGTTTGTCTAAATCCACAAATCCGATTTTGCTGCCACACCAACCCAGCCAACAACAATTGTCAGAAAATGGATGATTTAATTTTGCAGAAAATATATGGCGACTCATGGGGGTCCATTGTCCTTTTTCCACTGCCTTGTCCAGATGCAATTCAACATCCACGATCCAACAAGATTCTCATATTTGAAATAAGTATTATCCCATTTTCAATCTATTATCTAAAAAATGTGAATAGATCATGTGTGTTTATCGATCTATGCATGCGCATTGGCGGATCTAGAAATCTAGATGAATGAATGAAAATTACTATCATCCATGCATGCCACAGCAATGGTCGATCAATTGTCGAATTGTCATGTAATATTTTAATAAATATGAATTTTTTTCCACATAGGAGGTATAACTTCTGACCAGGTTCTAAATTTTATGGATGAAGTTATAAATTCCACTATCACCACAACAATAGTACATGCATAAAGAAAAACAAATGCATGGTCTATTGGTTTTACACAATTAATAGCTTGTGCAAATCGTATAGTATCGATCCAAGGACTTAGAAATATATAAACTTATATAGTAGAGCTAGTACTAGCAATACAAGGATACGAACTTCTCATGCTGTCATGTAAGTGTGATATAATCAGATCGAATATACATACAATGTACAATGAAGTACGTGGGTCCGAACTGACATGGACAGATTAATGCATGGTTGTGATCAACTTTAAAATTGTTAAACTCTAAGGAATGGAATGCAGGAAGGACCACGATATATATACACACACACAGAGCACCAGACAAAGTCTGTTTAATGCCAACGGATATTCTGCTTCTCCCGTATATTTCATCCTTCCTGCATCGATCTTTCATGCAATATATCTTTCATGCTTATTATATAGCTACTCCAAGAATATGTAGTTAGATCCCTAATCTAGATTGTGTAATTTGATAGAAATGATATGTAAAATCCATGCATATAGAAGTCTCATTCAGAGATACAATCAATTAAAAATACTTATATTTTAGAACGAGTAGAAGGTTCTCATCAGCTGCTGAACAAAGCAATATATTATTTTTCGAGCGGTGAAATGAACAGATCAAGCATATATCATTTTTTTTTCACTCGGTGAAATCCCCAGATGGAGCCCATGTATATATACCGTATCTCTGTGGTGCCAAACACGTAGGGCCCTAGTTAATTTCTTGTCGTCCAAATGGCGAGTCTTTATATCATTGGCGCCAAATTAAACTAGATTGGCCCCAGTTAGTTAATTAATTAATTAATTAATTTTGTTTTTGGAATGGTCCCTATCAATTACTTAATTAGTTGACACATGTTAAGTTTGATATATGTTATGTTGTTCCATAATTCAGTTGGTCACTTATTAGAGGAGCTAGGGATTTGTTTCTTTTCCAACAAACATAACTTAATTTATTGCTGTTGTGCACACATTTGTGCTAGCTTGATGGCAGATGCCAGGGATGTAAAATATTTTTATTGTCTTAAAAAACAAATGCATAAATATATGCTACTGTATTGGGTAGTACAGTCTCATATGGACCAAAATTAAATAAGCTATTGAGCTACTAGCGGACTAGAACTAGATGAAACTTAGCCATCCTTGTTTAATTACCGTAAAAAAAACGCATATATTAATCGGTAGGTGAAATATACTCCCTCCGGTAAAAAAAAGTTACTTTGGTTAGTGTGAAGTCTTAAAACAATGAATATAAATATCTATTATATTTTAAAGATATTTAGATTTCATGCACATATGAAAATAACATTCTCACGGATTATTATTTCACCAAATTAAGATGCTATATATCATAAGAGTTGTAGTTTACCAGGTTTAAACTTTAAACATAAAACTTGTTTAAAACTCCCTGCTAGAAATGCTTGTATGGTTTAGTAGTAGAAACGTGGACTTGATCCGGATATATAGGCTGCCAATAATGCAATGACCTGCAAACAGAGCTACTACTAGTGCAGACCATGCGTGCCGATTAGACATGCCCTACCCATTCTGGGAAACAGGTTTGCATGGTTGGTGATCCCATGCCTGCTTGCTTGTTGCATCATCATGTGGATCGATCGATGGATCGAATTCTTAATCCTGATTAATTAATTTTGCGTGTACTTTGGAGTTGGGATCATGGGGATCCGAGCACTAAACTTCCTCATGTCGTTGACTCCATGTGGCACTGGATTACATTTTTTCACTTTGGGATCATCAGCTTAGCCCCACGGCAAGCAAGCAACTAGCTCGATCGGGTGAATAATAATAATCTCTCTTTCTTTGGACTTCTCGAAACTGAATCGAGTTACAAGTCCAACACAAGCATGAAGAATTGCAATGGGCTATCGCAACTTTCAGTTAAAAAGTTCAGCTAATATTCTAGCTTGGGCAGCTGGTTAATTTAGTACTCCGATCCCTCTCTTCCTAAAAAATATATATAGGTTGTTTACGAAAGATAAAAAAAATCCCTTTTAATCAGCTAATAATCAAAATTTAAGTTTTGAATTGTTGGATTCCCCTCTTAAGCACCTAATTGGTTAAAAATGCTTAAATTTTCGTGTATTGAAATCATTGTTCCAGAAATAATGATATGTGTACAAATTAAATTTAAATTGTAGAAATAGTTATATTTGGGGATGGAGTAGCTCTCCGGCTTAATTACATTTATTTAACTGCATTGAGACAAAATTAATTCAGACTACTACAGCTTAATTACATTGATTAATTGCATTGTAGACAAAATTCAGACTCTGGGCCAACGCTAGATTGAGTTTTATTTTTTATTTTTTTTGGGGGGGAATGGGTAGGAGCTCTACCATTTTTTTAATAGGAGAGAAAAAAACAATAGTTCACCTCAAGGATTGAGTTGGATCGATCAGATATCATTCCGACCAAAACAACTTGCTCGATCGATCCAGACGGGCCATCGATGTCTGACCGGTTGTCGACAGATTCGTCAGGAAACTCGCTCTCGCATGCGTGCTCCCGTTACTCCATTGCTGGGATGCAAACTGCAAACTCGCAATGGCGAATTAATCCTGACGCGATTCATCCTCTTTACAGCTTAGCACTACTCCCTCCGTCCCATGATAATTCAACTCCTGGATTCCCAATGCAAACTTAGTACAACCATGAAAATACCGAAATGCCCTCAACAACAACATTACACAGGATTGTACTGGGTTCTCTGCACTGTCCTCACTGAAAAAAAAGGTTTAACTGGATTCTCTGCACGCATCAATTACACAGGTATCCAGCAAAAAAAATGAAGTTTTAAATTGAATATGTTAACAAAAAATTAAGAACCTCTAGTCTGAAAAAAGAAATCGTCAAAAAAAATACTACTCCACAATCTACAAGATGGTTTGCATCCATAATCTGTTAAAAAATACTTCTCCACAATCTGTAAGGAGTAGGAATTAATCTGCAAGAACTAGAAAGAACAAAGAAATGTGTTTGCATCCACCAAGGTGGCCTGTAGTCATGTGTGTATTTATCCAGATTGACCCTGCAAGAAGTCATCACCAAAATCCAAGAACTTAGTATAGTTAACAAGGTGAAAGGGCAGAAATAAACACCAGAGAAGAAAGAGTGATGGAAAAAGAGTGGTGGAAAAGTGTACTTGGGTTTATTCTAATGGCAAAGCTTCTCGAACCACCTCAGCGCTGGGAGACACAAAATCGTTGGCTCCTTCATCAGATCCGCCATTGCAAAAGCTTGTGCATCAGGCTCCCTGCAACAGATCCACTGGCGCTGGAGACCATAGGCTTGCGCCTCCGCCGTCGTAGCCAAGCAGCACCTACATGTTGCGTTCGCCTTCTCCTGCATCACAATCGCAAGACCCTACCTCTGCCGCCGTACTGCTAGTGCCTCATCCGAGCCATCTCAATCCGCCGGGGCTGGCGCCGCCCCCGCCGACCTGTCGTATCCATGACATCACGGGAGGTCGCAGGGAGGGAGAGATGGATGGAGCGTGGAGGGAGGGGAAATGACTCATCGCCGTCGAGGGATAAGTGAAGGTCGTGAGGAGAGGGAGGAGATGAGACCGGGCGGTGGTGGTTTTTTTTTTAGCGCGGTTGTGTGGTGGGCGAGAGGAGAGAGACGGGCAGGGATAAGGATCATTGAATATTTCTCGAGTGTTACGCAGAAGTCGGTTTTTTCTGGGACAAATCCTCACCCCGATTTCTTTCTGGGACGGAGGGAGTATGTCTGCAGGCAATGCAATTCTCTGCCGATGCAACCAACTGCAGCCTGCAGGATTGCAGGCACACACGACGGAACAAGGCTGCGCGCGTCTTCCTCCGGTGGAGATGATTGGTTGCGCAAGCGCAGTACAGGCGGCGACGGCGATCGATCGATCTGGATATCAACTTGCGCAGTGGCAGGAAGGCGGCCGGGCTGCGGCACGCGTGTTGCAGGTTGCTGTCAGAGTCGGAAGTGGCGAAAATATTAAGCACACGTTACTGAACTTTCAATAAGATTTTGATGAGATCGTAGATACATCGTTAGTTTTCGTCTATCTAGCATGCGTTAGAAGATACTCCCTTCGCCCCAAAAAGAATTAACTTAGAAGAAAAATGTATGTGGACACCTCATATATCCACATACATCAACTTAGGAGGGGACATAGGTTAATTCTTTTTGGGACGGAGGGAGTGCATTCGTAGATGAGTATAGTATTACGTCTGTAGTAATGTGTGTGCGTCTGTCGTGTACTCCCTCCACGGCTAAAGAAACAAATATAGAAACGGATATAACATATTCTAATTAATGAATCTGGACAAAAGTTTATCTAGATTCGTTGCACCAAGTTTAGACCCTGTTTAGTTTCAGGGGTGAAAAGTTTTGATGTGTCACATCGGATATAGGACACACATTTGAAGTATTAAATATAGACTAATAATAAAACAAATTACAAAATTCGTCCGTAAACTACGAGACGAATTTATTAAGCCTAATTAATATGTCATTAGCAAATGTTTACTGTAGCACCATATTATCAAATCATAGAACAATTAGACTTAAAAGATTTGTCTCGTAATTTACACGCAACATGTGTAATTAGTTTCTTTTTTTAATCTATATTTAATACTTTCTTCGTTTCATAATGTAAGTCATTCTAGCATTTCCACATTCATATTAATGTTAATAAATTTATATAGATATATATATCTAGATTCATTAACATCAATATAAATGTGGAAAATGCTAGAATAACTAATATTATGAAACGGAGGGAGTATTTTATGTATGTATCTAAACATTCGATGATAGGGTAGAAAATTTTTACGTGAGAACTAGACATGGCCTTAGTAATTGAGAAGAAAAAAAAAGTTAGGCAAGGCGATCGATCTCTCCGACATGGGGAGTGATTGGGAACACCTGGGGCCGGAAGGTGTCCGTGCCTCGGCGCCTCAGCCTATTGGAATCTTCATCTTTAGGGATGGTTGATTGGTTGCTTCTTGGTTGCCTCCAGCTTGCAGCACCGGCCACCGGCCCATCCCGACTGAGTTTGAGCCTGCCACTGCCACTGCCCAGGCCCACCCCCCCTTGAGCATCTCCAACCCACACGACTCAAACTGAACCAGGCCCCCCCTGTACTTGATGATGGCAATTGCTTCGAAACGCCACTAAATTTCACCCGAATTTCGTCACTTTCGTACCTCATTCCAAACATAACTCACTTCCAACACGAGTAATTTTGGATGGAGATTCATAAATAGAATTCAATAATTTTGTGAACTTCTCATGTTGTATGTGTCTTTATTAGTTGGTGTGCTCCTGTTTTTTTAATGACTATATTTCTTTATTTTGTTGAATTGCTGTAATAATTGGTTGTAGCTCCCTGAGGAAAGGTCGGGATTCTATTCCATTATCCTAAAAAAAAATAACTCACTTCCAACACGAGTGCTCAATGGAATATTCTATATATTCTCGCAAAAAAAAAAAGAGAAAAGGATAGAGTAATATATATTCAATAAATGAGCCACTTTCAGGCGTGATCGAACGACACAACATTGATGGGTGCCATACAGGCAGCCAAAAAGAATGATAAAAACACTGAAAGAGAGATCAACGAACGCATTGCCGCGTGACTTTACAAGCAAGTGATCACGCCACTATCATTGACGTTACAGCACGCTAAAAAGCGCCCAAAATGGATCACGAAAAGAGCGAGAGAGTAGAGGATTAGGGCTAAAGTTACAACATACATGGCCCACACGGAGTATGGCGACTGTATATGTACAGCGACAGGTATAATCATACAGGTGAGACTCTTCAGAATACCGAATCATTGTCATACAGTGCTCCATTTCATCTCGACGTGTACCATCCCGTTCCTCGAGTTGATCAGATGGTATTTTTCGTTGATCCGTCCGTTGTTCACGACGTCCACTAGGTTTATATCCACATGCCCCAATGATTCCTGAAATTTTCGGAGAAATGAGAGGTTGATTTTAGAAGGCACTATGAACTGGATGTGATTATATTCTCTCTGTTTTTTTTTAACAACTGGTTGTGAATATCATTATCAGAAGAGATGGTTTTGCAATCAGCAGGTAACAACAGTGACTGACTGACCTTATTGCGGAAGGGAAGCCGGAGCCCACGGCGTTTGCTTACTACTTCGATGTGGATCTTATCATCCACAGGAGCCTCATCAACCATGAACTGAAACTCTTCGTTCCATCTTGGATCTCTTGTTTTCTTGATTATCTGAAATGCCAAGTTAAACATTTTAGGTTCACATAAAAGTATTAGGTAGTACTACTATGTTCTTAAGCGCTTTTAGTTGGGGTATAACGTGGAACTACAACATAAAGTTAGTGTGGCAAAACTAATTCCAAAAATAAAATACCTTCGTTTCCTTCCTTTCTCCCCTAAAATGAACCACGGCATACGGATTAGTATGACGCTTTCCCTCGACGTCTTCTGCATTTTCTACTGAAACCAACAGCAACCCTCCACTAGGTGGGACGTCCCTTTTTACACTGACATTGCCTTCACCATCTGACATCAGAATGGTACTGTTGCTGTCATCTCTGAAGGGATCAAATGTCAGCTCTACGACAAGCTTTCCTCTGTTCTTCTTGTTATGAGGATCATTTGGGTCCATGCTTTTCAGAAGGTCAAGTGTGAACAGTTTACTCTCATAAGGAGTAAGCAAGCGGAGGGGAACTACTTGCATACCCAGTTTATCATGCATTTTAACCTGCACAAACAGAAAAAGGAAAAGGTTATTGTTATTTCCTACCTATGCCAAGCAGGAAAAGAGCATAGAAATAACAATTACTGCTCTTACAAATGACAAACCAACTTATCAGAAGAAAAGTTGCATACAGCAAAGCTAAACCTTTTCCCAATCAAACATGCGGAGCTCAAGGATTTGTGTTTCAGGATCCTTGACTATAAATCTGAAGTGTTCATTCCACTCAGGATTCAGGTTGCTCATCTTAATAGACGTCTTCTTTGAAGGCAGTTTCTCACCACTCAAACGGAGCTTGACATAGGGATCAGATTTTCCAAGCAAGTCCATCTTGAGAAGATTCATGGCTCGAATTACCTTTACATGTAATATTCCAACTGGTTTCTTTGTCGCACCACTGCAAATGTTCCACACCGGTAATATGAGAAAGATCAAATTAAACTGGAGTACATTCAAAACTAAAACAACCTTGTTTCAGCTATAGAAGCCCCATTAACAATGTTATTTCTTTTGCACTAAATGAATAACAAAATTATGTTTTTCCCAACATTTAATTTCCTTCGCCACGTACAAATGCACTTCCTTTTTAAACGGGTCCAAGGATAGCAATGTTTATTGATGCTAATATGTTTTCTGGGAGACTCTTATTTCCAAATTATCTTGGCAATATATGTCTCAAAAAGTTCATGTTGAATGAGAATATACTCGAGATAGAAGATTATCAAGATGAAGACAGGATAGACATATGCAACTCGGCATGCAAATTTGGAATTAATAAACTCATCCAACAACTTCTCATTGTGATCCTTACAATAAAAAAAATATGGATGTCATTTGTAAAGAAAATCACCTCGCTTCATCTAAAATAGGAATTTGTATAAGCTTAGGCCAGTGATACAAGTTTGCGATTTGCTTTGATATTTTCTCCTGTCAGAAAGCAAAAACCACTAATAATTAAGAAGTCCACAAGCTAGGAACATAGTACTGGTACCCAAGATAGTGAAATAAGGAATCGTAGTAGTAATTAAATGGGTACAATTAAACTACAAGAGTCCATCAGGACGTTCAAATTCAGTGTCCTCTGTGGGAATATAAATGTTAAAGAGAAAATTAGTTACCCGGACAAACCGATGCAAGCCAGGTATTGCCATGACATCTCCACCCAACAATTTGAATCCAAAGTCGATATGTGGCTTTATAATAAAATAAGAGTTAGTTTTATTTACAGAGTTGTTTTAACATTGAAGAAACAGATTAATACCTTCTCCATCAGTGAAACACACAAGTTTGCAAAGCAGGGAAAGCTTGGCACAAGAGGCTTCAGAGTCACACGTGGTGTCAGCATTATATGTAAATCTAAAAGCTGAAACAGAAATATGATCAGTCAGAGGACTAATAGTCCATTCTTTAGAACGAGATAAGAGAAAGCTAACCTGAGCCGACACTTGGAAAGAATGCACCTTCACTTTCACAATTACATTTGCTATGCTGGCCCACCGAATCACAGGTTCAATTACCAACTCTTTTTCTCTCATTTCATAAACTTTAATTCCTGCTTGTCAAAATATCGAGTAGTATAAGAATCAATCAATCTTAACAAGAGTTGACTGACAGCGTAAGTGCAGACTACAGATTTTGAACTGCTCTACCAATCTATATTATTTACAACATAGACTTGAGTTATACAAGGATACAGAAACACTGTACTTATAATGATAATCATGATTTGAGGATACAAGGTCTGTGTCACTGAACAAATTGCATCATTACAGAAAGTACTCTTACAGAAATCAACAGACCTTGGAACGTAGGAGGAAGAGCCCCAAGTGTTAAGTGCCCAAATTCAATTGATTTTATTCCATATTGTCCAACATATTGATCAAATGTTGGTCTGATTACACTTCTTATTGTGTTGCAGATTGCCTGATCAATGAGTCAATTGAGTCTTAAAAAAATGAATCAATTGAATTACCCAAGCTGACAATGGTTCGAGAAGAACTCTCAACGCTCAGATGATGAAGCACTGAATATTACACTAAAACTTGGTAGCAAACAGGCCATATAAGACTTGAAAATACCTTATCAAGGAAGGGCCACATATCAAAAATAAACTTGTTAATCCAGTCAACCTGCAAAAACATAAAATGAATTCTCCATTTCATGAATTGAGTATTGTGTCTTTAAATGAACTATATGTAATGTAGCATTTATGGTGTGGATAAAAAGAAACAAGAACACAAAAATAAATACAAAGTACCAGCACACATTCTCTCATATATGTGCCTCAGTCCTCAAGAGCTTGGCTATTTAGCAATTTATCATACCGATCAATATGATTTCTTGACCAGATTGCTAAGCTAAAAGAAATGGAATCCTACAATAGATTAGGATAATGGAAGCTGTCACCACCAACAGCGTAATCCTCTCTAATTTCATTTGTCAAATTTTGGTATTAACATATTGTATTTATCTCTCTATGAAATATTTTTTTTTTAAAAAAAGAAATACTCTGAAAAGGGGATAACCAAAAGATTTCCAAATAAATTGTTGATATGTGAAGGTGTATTCTAATTTTTTTTCTTTTCATGGGAAATACAAAGATGCTAAGATAATTAAATTTCCATAAAAGTTACAAAGACTCCATATATAATATCCTACACTCATGTTACTCAGGGGCCTGTTATACATACTTCTATATTATCATGAATGCTCACGCCTTGTTGTACTGTTGACATTTGACAACTAAACAGAGATTGATTTACGACACACATAATCCCAAAGCAACAAATTATAAGTCGTTTAAATAGTAGCGCGCCATGTTTATATACCCACCCGTTCATAATCTGGACACTTCACCCACAACGGAATATCTGGTATAGTTGTCTGTAATGTCTCAGAATCCAAGTCGCGTAGTGGTCTAATAATAGGATCCTGCAAAAGTCAACAGTCAGTTTCCCTCAAAAAATGTTGAGATCAAATTTGTACTATAGTATTTACTATTTGGGTTTGTGTAAGATTTTGAATATTAATTTATGTTGAACCCTGCTTGATAGTAGTATGTAGTAAAGCAGTGGAGCTCAAGAGGATCAAACCGTCTGAATCTACCATAGTTTTCTGGACCCTGGAGAGGCAGGTTGAAAATGCTTATACAGCTCCATCCAGTATTGACCATTGGTTGCAAAGTGAAATAGTGGATATCCAACTTGACTTTCAGTCAGATTAATGTCACCAAACACTGGTGGTTATGACTTTTCTTTTACTTAGCATAGTGGATTTGATTATTTCTTTTCTTATGAAGTAAGTAATCCAATTTTCGTTAGTCTCAACATAAAAGGGTGCATCGGAGTAGGCTATATACATTAAGCAAATAACCAAGTTGGATTTTTGCTCTGTCGCATCTAACCATGTCGTTCTCATTCCAATGGGCTAACCCACCCTGTAACTAGCTGAAATGATTCTAACCATATCAGACAAATATCATATGTACTACTAGGCTAATTAAATAACACGCCGTGCACTACAAAATATTCTGTATTCATATGCACCAACCCGTTTCACATTGCTAAACCAAATTAATTAACAAATGCATATAAAATACATCTTGTGTTTTTCATGTATTTGGAATATTCGTTCAGTAATCCCATAGCAATCCCACTTGTCCCAAATAATCCCAAGCAAACTCCCCCAGTACACATCAATATATCGCAATCTAATAAAATCCCCAGTGTCTAGCTGGCGCATCGAAATTAGTCAATTTTATTGAAACAATCTCACTAAGGAAGCATATGTCAGCTCACGGAGGCATCGCAATTGGCAAGCCGGAATCGGATACGCAAGCTAGCAAAGCAAAGCTGTTCAAAGCTGGAACTGAAAAGTGAGTACTGGACGGCGAAACTGGTAAAGAGACGTGCTTAGTCAGAGCTGAGAAATGGCACTACTCCAGCAGGGGAAGACAAGGACTTTGGAGCACACGTACCACGTCCCGTTTTCCCCACGTCGCATCCTGAACAATCCGGTAGTCTAATCGTACGGGCAGAAGAAATCAAGCACGTCCCAATCTCGGATTTAATTTCTACAACCATTTTGTTGGGTTAGTTGGTGTGCACAAAACCTCGATCGAAATCCATCCTGCTGCTGTTCATGAGTAATTTTGATATGATAAACCGCACACAAATCAACAAAGTGACAGTACACAGATAACGAATTGCTAACGATGAATGCGTTCAACTAACCACTAAATTGCTAGGATTAGTACAGGACGGGAAGGATCGAGAAGGAAGGAGGCGATGGATGGACTGACCTGGAGACGGCGGCGAGGGGCGAACAAGCGGAGGTAGACGAGGTAGGCGACGGCGATGCCGAGGGGGAGGCCGACGCCGAAGCCGAGGAGGCCACCGACGAGCCCCATCCCGTTCCCGCCCGCTCCCGCGAATGCAGCGGCGCCCGCGGCGGCAACCGCATGGGAAACCACAAGACGACGATGGGTTGGTGGCCGGCCGCCTCCCCTCCCTCCCCAGCTACCCGCCGCGGATAAAGTAATGGCCGGCCGGCGAGGCGGCGAGCTCGAGCTCCTCGCCTCCTCGGAGACGTCGAGCGAGACGAGGCGTGAGCGGGAGCCAGCAACGCGCCAAAAGCTTAGTTTATTGGGAGGTAGCGGAGAAGCGGATGCGGGAGAGACAGCGGCGTGGGTGGTTTAGCTTAGCTTATATGGGTCGCTCGCCGCCGCGGCAAAAATCCGCGGAAATCCTCGCGTTTCCGGCCTCGCCGCGGCGGCAAAAATCCGCGGAAATCCTCGCGTTTCCGGCGATGGGTTTCGCATCGCGCGTGGGCTTTTGCTTAGCTAACAAGGCTACTACGGCTCAGGGAGGGGGAGGAGGAGGAGGAGGAAGCCCAGTTTCTTGTCTCGTAAGAAATCTCCGGAAGCTTCGTGGGTTTAGTGGGCCTGGCCCATGTAGGGTGAAGGTTGGGCCCACGCTGGTACCAGGATTGCGAGACAAGCTGCCTTTAAAACGGCTGGCCTTCTCGGCGCTTCTCTTCTTCCTCCTCCTCATTTCAAATTCGAATCAGGGCGAGTTGGCTTCTCGGAGAAGGCAGAGGAGAGAGAGAGAGAGAGAGAGGCGGGATGGTGAAGCGGCAGCGGGAGGAGGAGCCGGCGACGGCCAGCCAATCCGGCGACGACGATTCCAACTCCGACGAGTGGAAGGACTTTCTAAACCTAGATGGTGGCGAAGAGGCGGCGGAGGTGGACGACGACTGCAACCTGGCGCCGCCGGAGAAGGATGCAGAGGCGGCGAAGGCGAGCCAATCCGGCGACGACGATTCTAACACCGACCAGTGGAAGGGCTATCTAAATCTAGAAGATGGCGAAGAGGCGGCGGAGGTGGACGACGACCGCAACCTGGATCAGCCGCCGGAGAAGGATGCGGAGGCGGCGAAGGTGGACGTCGACCGCAAGCTGGATCAGCTGCCGGAGAAGGATGCGGAGGCGGCGAAGGTGGACGGCGACCGCATCACGGCGCTGCAGGAGAAGGCTCGGGTGCGCATCCTCGACTTCCTCCCGATCAAGTCGGTGATCCTCATGGGTTCGCTCTGCAAACGGTGGCGGGAGATGTACGGCCTCTACTGGAGGGATGTCGCCGTCGACGTCGAGCTCCCCACCGACGGCGATGCGCTGAGCAAGCTAGAGGAACGCGCGGGGCAGCAGGAGCCGAAACGCCGCCTCCGCTACTTCTTCCTCCTCGTCGTCGAGAGAAAAAATGTTCAGAGAGAATACTTCAATTCCTGCCTCGAATACGCCGGCAAGTGCTCTCCCGAGGTCATCCACATCAGTGATCGAGGAGGAGCGGGCCGCAAGTTTAAGATGCACCTGACGAGCAAACAGCTCGTGCGCCTCTCGATAATCGGCGTCGCGTTGGGTCATTTCCAGGGCAAGTTTTGTGAAGGCGTCTCCTTCCCCACGCTCGAGGAAATCCACATCAAGAACTCCACTATCAATAAAATGGACGACCTCAAGAATCTAGTCGGCGCGTGCCCCATCCTCCGCGTCCTCGACCTGCGCGGATGCAAAACCATCACCCAAATCGACGTCGACACCGCTGGAGAGCACCTGATGAGCCTCACCGTCATGGACTGCGAACGCGTCCGACGGCTGACCGCCGGCAAACACCTGCGCTCCTTTCGCTACAGCGGTAACTTCCTGACGTCACTGTCCCTTCCGGACAACGACTCGCTTGCCGACCTCTTCATCGGCTTCCCGAGAAGCCAATCTACCACCCCGGGGCCCGAAAATTCGTTCAAACGCCTCCCAGATCTCTCGAACCTCACCTTCCTCACCCTGTGCAGCACTTCTCTCCGGGTTCGTTCTTTTTTTTTCTCTCGATCATGTTAATTTCATCTGATTTCATTTTCATCTCAATCGTGTTGTTTCCACTTGATTCACAAGGTTGTTTGCTACTTCTGATTTTCAGGCTGTAACTGTGGCGGGTAATACCATTCAGACAAACTTGAGGAGTTTAAGAGAGCTTCAGTTGCTCATGTTCAAATTGGAACCGATCAACCTCAGTGACGTTCGTCGATTCCTGAACACCTGCGGCTACTACCCTCAGCTGACGAAGCTCTTTGTGCAGGTCACCACTCACCACCTGCTATTCCATTGCTTGCATTGCGTCTCGATCTGTTACTGTTTGACTATTTTGTCTGTTCGAGTGGAGCCAATGTTAGTATAGTTTCTTCTTTCTGATGATTCCAAATTATCCCTTTGTGATTTCAGCTCCCAGAAAGAGATTGCACATACACGGAGAACACTAGCTCAGAGAATGTGGAGGGGGAACAACAGGATGGCTTCGAAAAGCTTGATGTGGTAAAGATGACGAACTTCAAGTACGACTGGAATGAGATTCGGCTGCTGCAGTTTCTGTTCAAGAAGGCCAAACTCCTCCAGAAGCTGATACTAGTTCGTCCCATACCAGTACCGGTAGATCGCCCCTTCCGACTCCAGGTTCCCGCAAATGTCCAGCTAACTGATTGTGCTGATGATTCTACAGTCAAGTCATTTCATTCAGAACTCCTTACCTCGAAGACGAACTAGTGTTCAGTCAATAGTCGAGCTGCTTATAGTTCTACAGATCTGGAGCATTAATAGGTTGGAAAAGAGATACAGGACAAGATAACATGTGCAGAAACAAGTACAGTCTCGTCATACCTTGATTTCTTTTTTCCTTCTGTTTTACTTGAAAAAAGGTGATTGAATGACTTGGTATTTCACTGTCAATTTATGATGTATTTGGCATTTTAGCAACTTTAGCTATACATATGAGTTTACAGTGAAATATGTTCTTACCTACTTCTGTGGAAAAAGGATTAGTACAAAATAAACTTGGATGCAGAATCCTTGGGCACTGAAGTGGTTCCTTTCTGTGTTCTTTTGCCACAATGCGAGTTACAACTGAAATTTTAATCATCCATGTGTAAATTGACTTTCTGTGGATGTGATAGCTAGATATTGGATATTGTCATGTCAGTTATGAGGTTTACTAATTGTTTCTTGTCAATCTGAAAAGAGTTTAGGAGTTTACCTGAATGTAATTTGTTCTGCATTAGCATAGTTTAGTTATGGAGATTGATGCGGAAGCTGTTATGTTAAACCTGAAAGTTGATCCTGTAATGTAAACTGAACTTTGTGGATGCCATAGCTAGTTTTGAATATTTCTATTGTCGGTTATAGGGATTACTGTCCTCCTCAATTTGACAAGATTACCTGAATGTTTGTTCTGTGTTAGCATAATTTAATATAGGCAGACTGATGGGATATATCAAATGGGAGATTCTGCCATTGTACCTCATAGATTATTTGTTTACTGATACTAGTTCAAGTTATGAAATGCTTGATGTGATCCTCATGAGCCATGATACTAGTACTGAAGAGTATAGCAAAGTATGAAATGCTAGATGACTCTGCAGATTTTTGAAGATTTGTAGATTCTCCTCTGCCTGTTCTTTCCATTTAGCAGTACAAGTCAACATATTTGTTTCGGCATATGTTTGCATCTTAACTGACACCATATACCTTGTCTTTTTCAAATGGTGAGTTCCATAATGGAGTAACAGATTACCAGTATTTTCACCTGTAGTTTCATAGTTATTTGATCCATGTTTGCAAAGATCAAAATGGACAAAAACAAGAGCAGTGTTGTAGCTAGTAATTTCGAGATTTTTAACTATTTGGACGGGTTAGTGTCTTTGTTTTTATCGTTTGGAAGGGTTTGGATTTCATTCATAAGCATGAAACTTAGCATAGACTTGCACATTAAAACATGACATGAGAATGCCATATCCAGCTGCTTGGATTGTGCAGTTGTTTTAGCTAAAGTATTATGTGTCTGTAACGTAATTGTGATATGTGATCCCTGCCGTTGGAAGCATATGGACTCACTCACCCTACAGCACCACTCGCAAGAGAATAAAATGCTACACAACCTCATGTGTTATGCAAATCAAAGAAACTGAAATGAAAACGGAAACCCAGTAAATGAGTATAAATTGGGGAAGTGGATTTTTGTCCCTTGAGGGGACATCCCCTCGTCTTGTGCATGGCGTTTAAAAGTTATCATTTTTTTTAAAAAATAATGTCAAGATAGATCAATATATGGTATATCTTTTCGCGAACATGCAAGTTAAAATTCGACTTGTGCAATTGAAAGCAAAAAGTAACAAATTTGATCGTGAATTACCGTTCTATTTATAGTCAAATTTGTTATTATTGTTTCTACTTGTATAAGTTGAATTTTAATATGTATGTTTGTGAAGTGACATCACATATTGATCTATCTTACTATTTTTTTCAAATTTTTTAATGGATTTTTAAGTGACATATAAAAATAAGGGGATATCCTCTTGAAGAATTAATAGAGTTTTCCATAAATTCGTGACAAACTGAAACATACCACATGATTGCAATTCTGCATGCCCTCTTCCCCTTGCAACTCCCATCAAACCCGTATAACCACCACAAGTTCACTGTCATATTCACCGGCGTATTCTCACTTGCCCCTTTTCACTTGTTTAATTGAGTATAACCCCTGTGCACCTCTATTCTTGTGTGACTAAGTGCAGGATTGCAGTTCCTGCATTAGGGGATCACACTGTAACATCTGGATTCGAGTGAAATTCCCCCCAAAATGATGAAAACGTTCAGCAATGTAGCACCCTCAAACGCTAAAAAAACAATGGCTATATATAATCCCCCGAAATTTCCACTCATCATAAGCACAAGGAGTCCACAACCGCCACAACCATCACAAGCACTACTGCCATGACAATCTGCCCGAGGCTCGCCGCCGCGGCGGCCCGCCGGTGCGCGCTCGACGGCTTGGGTATCGTGTCCGGGAGCGCGCACTCCTCGCCGTCGAAGTAGAGCCTCTTGGGGAAGCCTTCCCCCTTGGCAATGTTGACGTTCGGCGCGTCCTTCCGCGAGAAGGAGATGACGGACTGCTGCTTCCCGGGCACCCTTGGGTCCTCCGGCGTCCTCCCGTCGGTGATCGGCTCGAGGTAGGTGAGCCCGGGCAACCCCTGCATGAAGATGCTGTTGTTGAACGGCGCCCCCATCTTGGTGCCGTTGAAGGAGTAGACGTTCTCGTAGCCGCTGTAGTGGTCGCGCATGGTGACGGCGGCGAACCAGTCCTTGAACGTGTAGTCCTGCCAGTTGAAGATGGTGATCCGCGCCGCCCACCCGGACTTGTAGTTGTTCATGATGTGCCAGTTGACGCTGAGGCCGCAGTTGTCGCCGCAGGGCATCGGGTTGGGCACGCGGCGGTGCTTGATCTTGGCCCAGGCGCGCCCCTTGGCCGTGCGGTTGTCGAACGGGATGAGCAGCGCCTCGGGCGGCAGCGGCGTGGCGCGTGCGTCCGCGTCGCACGTCGCCGTGTCGTTGCCGCCGCCGCCGCCGCCGCCGCAGCCGCAGGCGCAGGTGTTGCACGGCACGACGGAGTCGTCGTAGTAGGCGGAGAAGGAGACGCAGCACTTGGCGGCGCGCCTCTTGGGGCGGGTGATGTTGCACGCCACCTGCCACGACGCGACGGCCGGGGTGGACGACATGAGCCCCGTCTGGTCGGGGAACACCACGGGGCTCACCCTCACCGGCTGCCTGCACGCGTACTGCGGGTTCAGCTTCCCGATGATCTTCCAGTTCTGCGGCGGGTACAGCGCCGTCCGGTTGAGGTCCGGCGGCAGCTTGAACACCTGCATCTGGAACACGGCCCGCGACTTGGACTCGTCCATGGTGGGCGGCAGCAGCGTGCCGTTCTTGCAGCAGAAGGGGATGTTCCCGACGTCCTTGTCCTTCTCGCGCTCCGGCGGGAGGTCCACGACGATGGGCCGCTTCTCGCAGCTGTACGCCGGCGTGAAGTCGAAGTCCTTGTAGTAGCCGGCGGCGGGGCTGTACACGCAGGCGGGGCCTTCCTTGTTGAGCGTGTACGCGCCGCGCATTTTGTAGATGAACTCGCCGCGCTTCCACTCCCAGGTGAGGTTCCAGTTGTCGAGCCGGCCGATGGGGCTCCAGTTGTCGATGGTCACCTGCACCATGTAGTTGTTGCCGAACGCTTGGAGGACGTCGTAGGCGATGGTCAGGTCGGCCTTCTGCCGCGGCAGGTAGCGGGTGGTGGTGTTCACCTTCTTGGCCTTGAATTTTGGGTCCTTGACGCAGCACACGTACATGACGCTCTGCTTGTGTGTGGGCTTGGGGCAACGGAACCCGGGGTTGGACAGCTTGATGGTCCTGGGCATGGGCGCTGTGGGCGGCTTGACGCCGAACTGGGTGCCGGTGATGTCGATCTGGGCCTGGATCTGCGTCAGGTCGCCGGCGGTCTCGATGGAGTTGAGGAGGTTGGCCATGGGGTACCCGGCGAAGGTGACGCCGCCGGAGACGTTGGCGGGGAGGTCGGTGCCGTCGAGGAGCACGGCGCCGCCGACGGTCACGAGGATCTCCTTGTGCTGGAACCCGACGAACATCTGCCACGCCTTGAGGTCCTCGGTCATGGTGTTGAGCACCGTCGCCGTCGCCTTGAACGCGAACGCCTGCGCCGTCGCGTTCTTGGTCCGCGGGTACTCCTTCTCGCGCTCCGTGAACGTGTACGTCAGGAACGCGCCGTTGCACGCCTCCTGCGCCTTGAACGACGGCTTCTCCTCCTCCTCCTCATCCTCGCCGTCTCCGCCGCCGCCATTGTTGTAGTCCTGCGCACGCGCGCCGGCGGCGGCGACGGCAAGGACGACGGCGACGCCTAACAAAAGCGCCGCCCACCGCCGCCGAAGCGGCATTGGCACCCCCGTCCTCTGCCCAGCTAAGCGCGAACGGAGGAGAGGCAACAAGCGTTCGCCGGCTCGCTCGACCGATCGACCGACGGGCAGTGGTGGGAAGCAAAGGCGTTCCAGCGGAGGAGGAGGAGGAAGAAGGTATAATTAGGCATGCACTGTCCGTGGTGGCAGCTCGCTAAAATCGAGGAGGCCTCTCGTGCATGCGCGCGTGTCCGTCGCGTTGCCTCGCCGTTGATGGTTGCAGATGGCCGACGCTGGTTTCGCGTGGCTCGTCGGACGACCGAGTCAAATTGACCGGATTTGGACACCGTCGTTGGCGCTGGTTCGTCTCCCCCGTGTCAACCGGGCACGAGCCATATATATTCTAAAGTTATTCAACTGGATAACAAACACAGAGGAATATTTTTGTTTCTTTTCAAGAACACAGAGGAATGATTTTGCCTAGGATGCGAATTTTCGAATATTTTTTTAAGAAATAATACTTTTTTAAATAGAGGTTGACAAATTAAAATTGCAAGTTTAGGCCCTGTTTAGTTTCCACATAAAAATTTTACATCCTGTCACATCGAATATTTAAACAACTACATGAAGTACTTCCTTCGTTTCACAATGTAAGTTATTTTAGCATTTCCCGACATAAATATTATGTCTATATTCATTAACATCAATATGAATGTGGGAAATGTTAGAATGACTTACATTGTGAAACGGATGGAGTATTAAATATAGGCTAAAAAAATAACTAATTGCACAGATTGCGACTAATTTGCGAGATGAATCTTTTAAATCTAATTGCTTCATGATTTGACAATGTGGTGCTACAGTAAACATTTGATAATAACGGATTAATTAGGCTTAATAAATTTGTCTCGTGGTTTCATTGACGGATTCTGTAATTAGTTTTTTTATTACTATCCGAAATACCCCATGCGGCACCCTATATAATACCCGATGTGACACACCAAAAGTTTACACCCCTGAATCTAAACACCCCTTTAGCACCCCATCGAACAACCAAAATTCGATAGGCGTACATATCGATCAACACCTGTGGAACCACAATTGTTCGATAGGGGATAAAAAATTAAAAAAAAAGAACAACCACTATGTGCCACTGTGCATGCAGCACATATAGAACATCCACAATTCGATTGGCCCCTTGCCATGACCTTTCATGTACTTTAATATTTCCCTAGTGGATCAACAATAACAATCTTTGTTGAACTGCGGTTGTTCGACATGGTATTAACCTTATAATTTTAGCCGATCATGTTAAATTTTTGCAATTTTTCATTGAAATAATAATTTTTTTTTAAAAAATTCCGACTTCTCGAGTGATTTGTCCTTGTTTCGTCAAGAAATCAGGACGTTTCTTGGATGAGGAAAGAAATTGCATGAAGTGTTTTTTTAAAAACGGCCTCCCGCAAACCACGTCCACTCCGGCGCCGGCCACGTCCGCCATCTGCTTTGGCGGCTGGGCTTCTCTGGGCCTAGTTGGGTTGAGTTTGTCTAAATGGGCCCAATTGAGATGGCTCATAAGCGGCCCGCATACGCCAGCCGAAGCCAGCTGGCCTATATATAACGGTCGTCTAGTGCAGCGGTTTGCTCTGCTTCGAATCGGAATCCAAATCCAAACGCAATTAGCGAACACAATTAGCTTGACGAAGAAGGCGAAAATAGGGGAGAGAGCGCGGGGGGAGGGGGGGGGGGGGGGGGGGAAGTGAAGAACCCGCCCGCGCGGCGATGGCGCTCGAATCCACCGCAGCAGGCGGCAGCGGCGGCGCGAAGAGGCGGCGGGTGGAGGGCGGCGGAGGAGGAGGAGGAGGAAGTCATGGTGGTGGTTCCCCTCGAGGCGCTTCCCGACGACGGCCTTCCTGCGGCGGCGGCGGCGGAGGAGGAGGACGTCATGGTGGTGGACCGCGTCGAGGCGCTTCCCGACGACGGCCTTCCTGCGGCGGTGGCCCCGGTGGAGGCAGCGGCCCCGGTGGGGGAGGACCCCATGGTGGTGATTCCCGACGACGCGGTTCTGCGCATCATCAGCTTCCTCCCGCTCGAGTCCGCCATCCGCACGACGGTGCTCTCCAAGGAGTGGCTAAGGCTGTGGAAGGAGGATTGGGGCCAGAAATCCAGGCGCTACGAGATCCGCGCCCGCTGCGCACCTTCCGTGGAGGACCTCCTCAAGATCCTGGAGGAGGAGCGCCGCCTCGAGCGCCTCTCCGTCGTCGTCCACACCATCATGAAGAGCTCTCACCTGAGAGAAATCATCGAGAGATCCGCCGACCGCCGCGTCGAGCAGCTCCACGTCGAGCTGACCAACCCGAATGTTGTAGACAAGGTCAGGTTCCACTTGCCGATCTTGAGCCGCGTGATCGCGCTCCAGCACCTCTCGCTCCGCCAAATCGTCGTCTCCAAGATGCGCTTCAAGCCGCAGCAGCGCTTCAACGAGCTCTCAGAAATCTGCTTCCACTTCGTCTCCATCGAGAGCTACATGCTGAGAAATGTGATCACGCGCTGCCCCAATCTCCGGGTTCTGGACCTTCGCAGCTGCTTTGACCTCGACGCCGTCGCCATCTCGCCGGGCGGGCCGAAGCTGAGCAGTCTCACCATCGCCGGGTGCAAGCATCTCAATAAGGTGAACGTCGTCGGTGTAACCAGCCTCCGCTCCGTCTTCTACAGCGGCCGCTTCCTCTCGTCCTTCTACCTGCCGCGCACAAGTCGCCGCTCCTCCTTCACCGACCTGTACATCTGCTACGATGGCCCGATAATCCCCATGGTGTTCGGTAAATGGGCACAGGATGCACTTTCCAAACTCTCCAATCTCTCCAACCTCACCATCTGCAGCAATTCCCTCACGGCCTGTTTGGTTGGAGGGAGTTTTTAGGAGGGATTGGGAGTTTAGAGGAATGGGGCTATTAAGAGTTTTGTTTGGTTGGGAGACATGAGAATTTTGGTAGGATAGGGATGGGGAATTGAGGAAGGAACTCCCTCCTTTTCAATAATTAGGTAGGGGCAGGTAATTGGGAAGGAATTCCTCCTTTACTTTTTTTAAGCAAATCTCAGCCATCCCTTTTTATTAATGACATAATCTCCAACTAAACTCCCTATCAATTTCCATCACCTCTATCAAACAAGATATTGGGATTAAAAATCAAATTTCCATCTTAATCTCATCATCAATTCCCTCGTGTAAACTCCCAATCCCCTTCCCTCGAGTTACCAAACAAGCCGTCAAGGTTTGTTCTGTTCTGTTCTGTTCCGTTGGATAAGGATCATGTTGTTCTTGTTTTGAAATCTTTTGGTGGACTCATCGATGATTTGATATCCTTCAGATTGTGCCTAGTTTGCCTGATGAAGAACGAACTACCCAGTTGAAATGGCTTGGCGGCTTTCGGCGTTTGAAAGAGTTGCAGTTGCTCATGTTTGACATAAAGACCATCAACGTGTTTGATATCTATGCGTTCCTCCAGAGCTTCCACTTCCCAAATCTGACCAAACTCTTCCTGCAGGTTAATACATTGCACCTCATAAGCATTTCTGGAATTTGGATATCGCATTGCTTAAAAGTCGTTTCCCCCTTTTATTGCATCTGATGAAATCTGCATATGGTGTTCTCATCTAATCATGATACTCCTGAACACGATTACGGTCTGTGCTTGCAGCTCCCAAGAATCAGGGAAGATGTGCAGGAGGCGGTGAGAGAAGATGTGCTGCAGTCGATGAGCGAAGGTGTGCCAGAGTATGCCTTAGATAACCTTAAGGTGGTAAGAATGATGAACTTCAACAGGACCAGAATTGAGATGCATCTTGTGAGGTTTTTCTTGAGGAAAGCAAGAAACATCAATTCACTGCAACTTGTTTCTCTTTTTCACAATGCGATTCCGTTGGGTTTGGCTGTTCAACAAGGAGACATCATCCAAGGAGCTTTGGCGAGTGGCGTTATACAAGAGAGCAACTCTGGCGCTGGTACAACCCAGCCGTGTCATTCTGAGGTCTTCATCGATTTTTAGTTGCCAGTCACCAGTCAGAGTTATGGCCCTATAGCTTGTAATATCCGAGAAACTGGAAAGTGCTAATCGACAGTATACAAATATACATAATTTTCACCTTTAGTTTCTTTTCTGCATCTTCAATTTTAGTATCACCAGAGAAACTGAAATGCATGATATCCATTATCCAATGTCTTGTGCCTGCCTGCTTTGTTTTTGTGTTACCATTCGCATTATATTTTTCATAGTATATCTGAAATGGCATCTCTATGAATTGAAAACATCTCCAATACATCTTTCAAAGCCAATTTGACTATGTTAAAGACTGAATTGTGATCCTATTTTTGTAGTGTACTTCTGAACTAGTCATGATCTTCTTTTCCTGTTTGTTATCTTGGGTTTCAGATTGCACTAACAGCGATTTTGGATATACTGCATGTCCTTGTGTTTATTTCTGATATGATCTATGGGATTGTTACCTACATATTTCTATTAATCTATCTTCACATAATTTGTCAGAACTCAGAAGTAGCTCACTGAAATGAGCTGTTAAAATTCTGGAGTTAGTAGAGAATTAGTTTCAAGGTTTGGGTTACTAATATTAGTACATAGAACACACTGCTTTTTCCTTAACCTTTACTGGCATAAAATGCCAAATGACAACAAGTCCAATGGTTCCTTTCTTTGACAGTGCATTCTTATCGGTGTGGTCATACCTATCTGATATATACAGTTCCACAAATTTCTGAAGTTACGTCTCGTATTATACTGTCTTGCTGCTGTTTTAATTCTGAAGCTATCTTTTGCTTTATAGCCCTTTGGGTGACTGTATATTCTTATTGGTGTAGTCATACCTGTCTTTTTTGTTTATGAGAACTGTCATACCTGTCTGATATATTATATATACTACTATACAAACATCCGAGCTTACCTTTTGTACCATGTTGTGTTGCTGCTGTAAGCCTGTAACAGTTCCCAAAGTGTTTTTCGCACTCTGTTAATTACTGCATTAACATGAATTACTGCTTGTTGTACTGTTTTTGTATGTCCTGATGTGCCAACCTAGTCCTCCTAGTGATCATTATTTTGACATATTTACTCTTTACTATCTATGTGCTAGCTTAATATTCTTCCTGCTTAATATTCTTGCAAGTAGGATGAAGCCACAAATTCATTCATAAACAGATAGGGTCAATTCCCAGATGTCACAAGCAACACCATGTCATTAGAATGCTTGAGATTGGAGGTAAGGAGAATGATGTCATTTAGGTGGTGTTTGAATCTCCTAAAGATGAAGATGAAGATAAAGATTATTTGAGGTGGTAATAACGTATGATTATTTGAGGTATTAATTATTAAAAACTTGAAAAATGGATTAATATGATATTTTAGAACAACTTCCATATAGAAAGTTCTTACACGAAACACACCGTTTAGCAGTTTGAAAAGCGTACCACGAGTATCCAAAAGTTTATCTAACTTTTGTTGAAGAAAAGAACAAGGCCTTAGGATGGTTTGCTGCAGCTTACAGCCTTACAGCAGTAGGACAGCAAACTGAGGCAAAGCATCAACAAGATAGTCTCATTCCAGAGTCTTAGGAATGTTTGAGATATGGTTTAGAATGTTAGTTGTGATAGGAGCTCCATTCCTAGGGATCAAAGTTAGTATTTGCATAATGGAGTTGATTGTGTTATTTTCAGCAAGAAAAAGATATCTTCCATTTTTCTCCGTTTTCTGTGAGTACTATTCCGGGTGGGAACTAGGAATGGTGAACACAACCTTAGTCTCTATTCCCTTGCATTACTTATCTACACCTTGAACTTGTTTAACTTACCCTTGTATTAGATTTAGAAAAAATATGTAATCAACGCTGATAAGAAAATTTATGAAGCAATCATACTTCTTAAATATGGTAGGTGTTATCCAATTAATATTCCTCTTCATTAAGTATCTTAAACGCATCTTATGATAAATGTCTGTGTGAATGCGCGAGCTACTTTTCTAGTTAAATCAAATAGTAGATAAAATTGAGTAGATAGCATGAGTGCATGACGTGGATGCCGAGCTCGTTGATGGGCCACCATAGAAAAATCTGCTGCTAGCAACAGGTGAGATGGTGTAAAGATCCTCGATATATTGGTGAAGTCATGCAAATCTTCGTCCGCTGGCCAGGGTCTCCCCTGCTCGTCGATGAGGTCAAGGTATAGATGGCTAAAAGGCCCGTCCGGCACGTCCCGACCCAAGCACGGCCCACCAGCGCCATCGGGCTGGTACGGCTGGCCCATGGGCTGCACCTCCGGTCCAGGCACAGCCCACCAGTAGTCGGGCCGTGTCGGGCCGGCCCAAAGACATGGGTGGCCCATCGTGCCTTTTTAAAATAAGTCTATTTTCCCTCCCTTCTATTTGGGCTGTGACATATATATAGCTAAAATAAGTCTATTTTCTCTCCCTCCTCTTTGGGCTGACATATATATATATATATATATATATATATATATATATATATATATATATATATATATATATATATATATATATATATATATATATATATATATAGCTAAATTAAGTATATTTTCCCTCCCTCCTCTTTGGGCTGACATATATATAGCTAAAATAAGTCTATTTTCGACCATGGCATAAAATATGTCTATTTTTACTCCCTATTGTTTGTGTGTCGGGCCTGGCCTGCGGCCCATCGTGTCATGCCAGCCCGGCCGTACCGGGTCGGCCCAACGTGTTGGTGGAGGGGCCCAGGCACGGCCCCGACCCCCGTTGGGCCATGCTGTGCTTGGGCCGGGCCATAATACCGTGCCGTGGACCGGACCATCGGGCCTCGGGCTTTTTGGCCATCTAGCCTCAAGGTTGCTCATGGATGCTGCCATGTTGGTGTTATCAGCTGGCATGTATCCAGAGCCCATCGGAGTAACAGATGGAGTAGGCTGAAATGTAACATTAGTAATCGCCATGCCTCCAAACCAGATTTCGGTGGCCTTGACAACTAGACTTGTGAACAATGACTTGGGGAAGCGACCGATCAGTTGAGGGTCATTGTTAAACCCGTAGTACACCAACCAATCCCCTGAAGTACTGTCCGGTACATCATTAACCAAAATTAAAGAGAAATACTAAAAATGTATGCACTTCGTCCAAAAAAAAACGAATTTAGGAATAGATGCGACATATCCTAGTACAACGAATTTGGATCAGATTCATAGTATTAAGATGTGTTACATCTAGTAATAGGTTTGTTTCGTGGAACGGAGGGAGTAAACAATTGTCTTAATTCTCATGTATCACTCATTGCCTGGTACCTTGAGGGTGTGTTTAGTTCACGCCAAAATTAGAAGTTTGATTGAAATTGGAACGATGTAACGGAAAAGTTGGAAGTTTGTGTGTATAGGAAAGTTTTAATGTGATGGAAAAATTGGAAGTTTGAAGAAAAAGTTAGGAACTAAACCAGGCCTGAGTACTTTTAAGTTGATATAATGCTTGTCTCCATTTGGTTTATATCTTATACATCTTGTCTCCATTTGGTTTATATCTTATACATCTGGTTTATATCTTATACTGCTTGTCTCCATTTGTACTTTTAATTTATATCTTATACATTTACAAAATTTTTTTGAATAAAACGAATTATCAAATATGTGTTTAAAAGTCAACATCATCATGTTTCAATTCCAATCTATACTTTCTATATAGTTGGTACCCACTAAAGCTAAAACTCAACATGTAAGCATACCACATCATCACTCACTAGCAATTACTATTCTAGCCTATTTTAAATCCCATGCAAACATGGCATATATCATCTACAATATTATATTATATAAATCAACAAGCATGTGTCAAATCATCTTCCTCACATTATTTTTTCAACATTTCAACTTTCATCATTTCGACAATATTTAACATATACTCATCCGTGAATCCCGCAGCAAAGCGCGGGGTATCACCTAGTTTCTTATATAGCAATGACGACAAAAGAAGAAGAGATGACCGGGGTTGATGAGTGGATAGGCGACAAAGAAACATGAATGTGGCGTTTGCCATGGGAGAGCATGTTATAAAAGTTAGTCGATATAGCGGAACGACGACTAACCTTCCTGATCGCTTCAGTCATCGATCACCCAAGACATGCCAGATAATGACACAGGAACACACGATATTTGTTAACGAGGTTCAGCCGAAGCCTACATCCCTCGGGCTCTGATTATGGGCGCTCCTCCCCAACCAATATAGCTCCTAGCCGCTATGAGTCCATGGCATCGCTGCCATCCTCTCCCTGCGTGTCTACGCTACATTGTAGTCGCCATGGTTACATTGTGGTGCCCCCCTCTCTATTTAAGAGAGATGCCGGGTTACAGAGTCCGACTCTAACTCCACCCCCTAACACCTATTACAACTCCAAGTCCAACTGTAACCAAATAGGACTAGTATATTCGACACCTATTCTAACAAACTCCACCTTGGTGAATATACGCCACCTAGAAGTAGTAGAATCATCATGCTGATCCACCGGTCCTCCAGACTTGGGTTGTCTTCTTTGCAGCTTCACCGCAAGCCGCCCGACGAGTCTGCGCCAAACCCGCCGCCACCAAAAGCAATTGCTATCCCAGCAACCACTTCCTCCTGGACTCCACCTGCAACAGTGCACCCTCGCAGCTTGTAAAGATGCGACTCCACCTTCTCTCCAGTCATCACAGTCATCTTGCCCTTCATGATCTCAATGGTCTTCCTATTCCGATTACCGCGGAATATTAACCCTTCTTCATGCAAGGTTCCAAGCGAAATCAGATTCCTCTTTAGCCCTGGTACATGCTTGACTCCCTGAAGAACATGTTCACCTTCATCTTCTAGCTTGATTTTGACTTCACTGTCACGCCCAAAAATTCCCGAATAGAATTCCAAGCAGAATGTGCAATAAAATCCCCGTCCAGGACCGGCCAGGGTACACAAACGACAATGTTGACATTCAGATCCACGTCTTACAAACATCATAAAAGTCTTACATAAATGCAGCGGAAAAACGAAAGACAACAGGAGCTAAGCCTTGACTAGAACTGCAGCGGGAACACCACTCCACAGGCATCCTCGACAGCACGGACGAAGCCTACTCCTCGGAGAAACCTCCATCTGAC